GACAACCATTCTCTGTAGGAAACCCGTGACTAGAAATATATATTGTCAGAAAAGTCTCAAAATTGTAGGTCTGACAGAATGATGAAATGCTCCTTTCCCTGCCTAGAGAAGACATCCATCGAAACGTACTTAAACTGAATTACCTCTAAATAACGCCTCACTAGTAGCCAAATTTCTTCATTACATTTGGAAGCCATGTTCGCGCCATCCTGAAAAGTGAGGAAATAAGGGAAGGCAAGTGAGCACCGGAAATTACGTAGTTCAGTCTAGTTTCATGACATTTATCTAATGGAATGCAGTTATCTTGAACGAATTTTCGGAGCAGTGATGTTTAAGTACGTAGACGAAAGAACCTACGTGCGAGAATCTTTCACGTTAACTGAATTCGAATCATCACTTTCCTCGAAGAAGTGATCTCTTCGCGATAAAAGGGGAATAATTCTCGAGTGATAGAAAAAAATCGTTCAGCTGTAGCACCCTTCGAGTGCTTAGCTGCCATACCAAGAGAAGGAGACACGACGACTCAGATACTGCCAAGTTGCTAAAGAATACACAGGATAAATCCAGATGCACAAGTCGGTTTCAAACTAAGGACCTTCCTATCAGTAAATTCGCGCTCTGACCGCTGAGCCATCTTGCCCTCGCCTCCACTACTCATCACACTAAGTTGCTGCAAGTATGCCGGAGCCCTACACTGAAATTGGTGTGGATAACCCCCTTGAAATTAGTGTAAGTTTGGAGCGGCCTACAACAAAATGAGATCATAGAAGATAGGGTGTGTCAAGACCTGTCAGGGACATCTAGTCCTTACACAAAGAACTAGTCGCACGAAATCAATCAATCGAATAAGCGTCGTAACTTAAGGCTTTTTGCTTTCGAAGAATTTCCTCGAAATTTGCTCTTCAGTTTCTCTTTTCCCTCACAGTTAATCCGTTGAGTGCGTCATTTGGTACAAGTCGTGAGAGCTCTTGGAGGGAATACCTGTTAAGTGGACCCCAAAGATGTCTATTTCACTCATTTTGTCTTCAACTAGCGTCGAATCCTTGTCTTTAAACTTGTCGATCCACAGAATGATATGCAGGAAGTGAAACGCTTTCATGCGCTTGTAATGCTAGCCAATCGGACTATTTTCCTCGCATTTACTTTGGACTCGGTTGTGTGATGAACGATGGAATCGGAATGAGTACTTCCCCTTTTCGGCTGCCTCCATGGTTATAGTGATCTTATTCAGCGTTTACTTTCTTCACTTGCCCGGTGGTACTTCCGCAAACCTTTGCTCAGTACCCTGCATATATTTTACTTCCGGCGAATTGGCGCTGGACGGATTTTATGAGTAGATTTTCTCTCCCGTTTTGCATCAAACGTGACTTGTCATCTCTTATTCTGACAAATTTTCATGTGCCAACCGTGAACCGAATCGATAATATTCGTAGATACACTGACTCTACAGATAGGCCTCGCCCTGAAATTCGCGTATCTTATAAACCACCAAATAACTCATTTGTTATTTTTGACGTTGCTCTACGGCCTACAAGCACAGATGTCTATGAGCATTACACCGTACCAGATAGTGTAGGATTTGTGATAGCATTTGTTGTATCTGGGGCCGGCAGTTTCATGTTTTGGATTTTGAATTTTGCAGACTAGTTTTCATTTCAGGACACTAGTTGGTAATTTCCGTGTATCACGAACGACTTTGAAAAATAGCTTGTTTATTGGTCTCAGAGTGCACTGTGGTGAATTCAGCTAGTTGGATGTACCTGGAATCGGTTCCCGGCTCCAAACTGACTGTTTGTAACAAATGAAAAGGCGACTGAAAATGTATTAGCAGAGACTTGCAAGAGGCACTCATTTCCTGTGGCTGGATGCCCTGAACAGAACTGCTTCCTCCATTACAACGCACTCAAAACTATCTCCAAAGTCGGTGAAACGCAATTTCCCTGCTTCTCTAAACCCATTAAAGCTCATGGATTAATCAGTGCTTCGTATGCTGTCTGTCTCTGACTTCTTACTTTGCAAAAAAGCAGCACAATTTGTATTGTAGCTTCAATTACGAACTTCAATTCTGAACTACATGATTCATCCATTTAGATGCGTTTTCCCTCACCTGATCGGGCTTTACTCACTGATGCTAGACCACAATTTGTATTGTAGCTTCAATTACGAATTTATAATTTTCCTCTGAACTACATGATTCATCCAGTTAGATGCGTTTTCCCTCACCTGATAGGGCTTTACTCACTGATGCTAGAATGCTAGACACGTCTTTTATTTTTCCGTTTGGCTACCTGTCTATAAGTTTTACTGCCCGTCCGTCCATCTGCAAAACTGCCCATCGGTTAATTCATGATTTTCAAGCCTTTTGTTTCAAAATGTCAATAAAAATTATATCCCGGTTTATATCCTAATGGATGATCCTGCATTTTTCGTGACAGCATGTTTTATTTGATCAATTTAGGGTGAATTCAGCTCGGGTTTTTATTCTCTCTTTCTATCCAAAACATGGAGTCTGTAATAAGACTTTCTTCACTTAGAAGAAGTTGATCACCATAAAATCAATCTTGCCATCTTAAGCCAAGCTGTACGAGAATTTTCGAATAACATTGGTCCATCCTCACATTACAGCGAAAGCTAAATGAGAATTACTCCATCAGTAGGGCTGTCGGAGCTTTCTCTGGTACTTAAAACTATGTTTTGGATCTTCTCCAAGTGCGATTAAACGCCAGATTCAGGTAGAAAAAATACCGCTTTCAGCATCTTGTCTGCCATTTTGAGGGTCACTGTATTGCTGTGTGGGTTCTGCAGAATATACACCAATCGATTATTTGACGCTTCCGCCCCAGTTCTATAGAGAAGATAGATGATGCATTGTTGGACAGCCCATAAAGGCCCTCGTTTTTAGCCAGAGCTATCAGCGAAATCCTTCCTGAAGAGATGCCTGCTCTGGTAATATCCTCTCTTCGAAACGAATTGTTCTATGTTTAACAATATGGAACTCTGAGGTGAATTCCCAGTAAAACAACAGTGACCGAAAAACTACCTTTACAACAGATAGCAGGAAGGAACACCGTGAATGAGCCAAAGTTTATGGTCAAAAGATACCCTTGCACGGTGGTGCATGGCGGTAGAAAGCTTCCCGTAACCAGCGCTTACCTGAGATTCACCACCCGCTTGTGCATATTTTCGCCAGAAGTAACAAGTATGACCATACGCAGTCAGGAACAAGTAGGCCGATACGAGGTACCGCACAGACATGTAACCGCTCACAACCTACACTTTGAAAAACACAAGAAAACGATTCGTTGAAAAATGTCAGACGGTGAAGTATTCCTTCGAAGTATCACAAATGAATCATAAGGATACTAATTGAGGCATTAGGTGCTTACAAGGGCTGCCGCCCAGAATGACCTAGCTTGAAGTTGTTTGTGAGATAAACTAGGGGCGGATTTTAAAAAGCCCCAATAAATGTACATTAGGAGCATATATTCGCGCGATTCTGATACATTTTCAAGATACTCTTAGCTTTTCAGATTGCAGGTCCACATCACAGCACCCTTGTATAATGGGTCCTATTTACCGCCATGCACAGTCTCATAATCTCCGACCGGTAATATGATTTGTCTGTTTCGTGATAGTACCTCATTTGCGTTTCAGAAGAGTTTAGTGGCAGGCGAAAGACAGTTTTAACAATTAAACCACCAAATTTCGGGTTACAGTTGGATTACGTAGATCGCCACTCCAGTCGTCCGAGACCGAACACCGATGCGTCACATAATTAACAAACATAGGACGCAAGTTTCAGAAACTCGTCCTCATCTCGCGCTCTATTTTGAGCTAGCTCTACATATCACGTGCGGTCGGTATAACAAGTCTTGTCTTTGAACAGATTCGTTACTGTCCTGACGGTGATATAAACTCCTGCACCTGATAAATAAGTTCAACTTCAATCTCCCGACTGTACGGTAACTGAGATTTTCCGTTACAAAAAGTAGAATATATGCCTGGACGAACCGTTAGCAACTGTTTCGCAGCTCATCCGTTCACATTTTCATTTTTTCGGCAATGCTTCAGTCCATTCCCACACAAAGTAACTTGTGCATGGTCTTTCGTCTGCCACAATGTGATGATAGGATACCCGCATTTCTGTGCACTAACTGCACAAATGCAGTCGGCGTGAAAGTTTCCAGTCTCGGAAAATTCAAAGATCTGCTACTTCCAGCTTCTTCATCCCACTTATTCTGTGCTAAGCTTAGTTCGAGACCGAAAAAGCAATGCCACTCTTAGTTTACAGGTCCATTTAGACTATCATCTAGTAAAAGTGTAATGTGAGCTCTCCGATCCTGTTGGCCATTCAGACTATCGTCTAACTAATTTTGCAGACTTGAATCCCTCGATCCCTAGACATATATTCTGGCGATAATTCTCCACCGACTGAGCTGGTACGGGCTAACTTGCCAACATCTTTCCGTTGAGGTTGTATATTTTGGGATATACTCGTAAATACCATTTATCTCCAGAAACAAACCATATTGAGCCATCAAATAAAAAGCATTACGAGCCACATTGAGTGTTTTCCAGTTCTTTACCACAAATCACTTTCCTCCAGCTAGGTGAGCCGAACTCTGACTCAGAAAATACAGTTCACTAGGATTTCTTTAACAGAGATGAACACCTGACAAAATAATCTATAACCAGTAAACCCCAAAACGACTCACGGATTGACCGCACACATAATGATAGGTAACAATGTATATTTGCATCCAGCCTTTCCACTCGCGAGTAACGTCCAAGTTGTTGAAATCCGTCTACATGGTGAAGTAAAAAGACAAATTCCAAAGTTATTTTATTTGAAGGTGGGTTGTAACGTTTAGAGTACTCACTAAAATACTAACGAGAATAATCACTCCCAAAGACTCTGTCGTGTGAGCTGAATATTCTCACAGATTGCAAAAACCTCGGTCAATATCTGTAGTTCCTACGAGCGTGCCACGGGAGCGGGAATGGGAAGTCATTTTTAACGAAGGAAAAAGGTCAACGACGTGCTTGATTATGCAGAAATTACATAACCAATTTCAGGTTCACATCCATAAGGCAAATTCATAGTAGGCGAAACAAGTTTTGAACGATTCAACCGTCGACTTTGTTTCTAGCTTATGATGACGTCATCTATTTTGTTTCAAGGACTGCTTGCTATAAAAACTAACTATCGGTTGCACGATTTTCCACCCTTTTATATCTTCGACTAGTTGAGACACAGAGAAACCGAAGCAGACTGTAGTGAGAAAATGCAGCTGTTATTTTGCCAAGTTCGAACTTCAACGAAGGTTTGCAAAATCTTACGTGCTTTGATCTGCGAATGAATAGTAGCCCCAGGACAGTTAGACACAGAACCTCGCTTCGCAGCCAAAACGATTCAGGATCTTTATGGGTTTTTCCAAACATTGTTGTCCTGTAATTTCGATTAAATGAAAGAAAGGAAAGTGAATATTAATTTGCTCATTTGCGTACATCGAAATTTAGTGAACTTTCTAAACTATATGGATTGCAATAATCGCCAAGATAGAAGACATTGCCAGGACCGACCAGAATCGATTCATTCTTCAAAAGGAAGAATTCCCAGAAGAATTTCGAGGTTTTTGTCAGTAAGAATCAATGAAATGATTTACCAGAAAAAAGAGCAGTAAAAGGAAAAAGGTCAAGGGAATTAGCCCATTTTTACCTGCGCACCCCCTCCCCAGCTGTCGTTAAATAATAACAGGCCTTGCTTTTCACTTAGCAAGGGCACCGTGTTTTCTTCCCCACTGGTGCGGAAATAGCCGAGTAATTCGTATAATAGGACCACCTACTCATAATTTGCTACAGAGGTGACCGACTTTACAGCTGCATGCCGGCTACTGAAATTTGGTGATTTGACATTTTGTAGGATCCCTACGTTAGCCATGCCTTTTGTGCCACAGCCAGAGAATCCACCTATCTTTGTACAGTATAACAGACACATGAGTTGTACAGAAGGTTGATATCATGCTGCGGATGCACGGTTGCTCATCATCATCACAGACAAGCGACAATTCATAGAGTCCCATCCACGGTTCCAAGAATGTTATTCGTTAATTTGGCTACTCAAAAGTTGTCAGTAGTATAGAATTAATCCTGATATTATGGGTCAGGCGGCGATTGCATCATCTGAAGACGAGCTGTAAAATACACCGATCTTCACATTGCAGTTCACAAATATCAGGATGGGAAATGTCATGAGGACTGGACAGATCGTAAAAAGATGTAATGTGGCCTGGTCATCCATATACGTTGACCCTGTTATTCTGGCTGCCAGTTTCGAAATTCAGCCTGAGGGCGAATTCTAAGGAGTGAATGCCATGTACGTTATGAAGTGCAATGGGTAAAAAAAACACAAGGGCCGGTGCCAGAAATTTGAGTAACTTCACAAACCAGATAAAATTTCAGAAGCCGATTATCTTCACTTCAATGCATACGATATCAAAGCAAACCAACACTACATGATGGTTGAGGTAACTTACCGATCACAGATGTAAAAGTAGATGAGAACAATACCCATTCTGGAGAGTAGAAATACAAACTCGTAAAAGCGCGCGAATGAGAACAGCAAAAATTGTTCTTTTTCCACAATGGACATTGCCATCCTTTGTCTGCCTTCATCAAAAGCAATCGCACTCGCTGGACGTCTACCTAATTGACCTGGTACAAACGTTAAATTGCTGGTCAGCCCAAAATATGAAATGTATGTTTAAATGTATCGAAGGTTGAATTACGGGAAAGCAACAAACCTGTTTTCATCATTCAGGCGTGCTATTATCACTAAAGAGATAAACAGTTTGTTCAAATCACGTTTTTGAGAGCTTGCTTTCCTGTGTAGACTGTACAGGCAGTGAAATATCTGACCGGTGAAATTAATACACAACCAATAAATCCACTACTGAAGTTACTCGACGAATCCCTTCGGAAAATTGTCATACTTTTTTTCCTACTGGACTACCGAAGGGTAAACATGACAGCAGAACACTTCGGCGGATTCATCTCTCCCCGTATCAATACGGCGTTCGTACGGGTCAAGTGACAACAGATCCTCCCACCAAGTTCTTCAGCGCACAAGAATGTATACGGCTAGTGGATCATACCAAAATCTATAGCGCTGGATTTACAGCCAACAATACTACGTTTTCATCGTCATGAAAGAATTAGCGATCAACTCGGAAGAAGAAATAAAGTCTTCAGGAAGAGGAAAATTAATAGCACTGCCGGCACAGGCGATTCATTAAATAGTTCTTATCATGTGAAACAAACGGGTGTGATCGGCCGAAAATATTTTCTTTGCAAACGTGGTACACACTGGACACTTGTATCAGGATAGGAAAGAAACTGGGACCAAAAAACGAGACCCATGTTATCTCAAGGTGGTACAATAAAAACACCAATTCCAGTGCTCACTGAATCGGGCGATGAAAGGTACTTTGTAAAACCAAAGGCATACCATTTAACTTTTGGATCAAATCCTCGTGATCACTACAATCAACAGCAATAAACGTACGTCCATGTCGGTGGAAAGTGCGTATTCCTGCTTGACAAAGCGAGGACAGTTAGCTTGCCGGAGAAAACTCGCTGTGGCATCGTGCGCCAGAGCTGTACTCCGATTTGCCACTAGTAAATATTTCACACTTATTCTCTGTCCAATAATAAATTATTTTCACGACCACGCTAGGTTCCGGAATGGCCAGCGGGACAACTGGACATGTTATTTAACGCAACTAGTTTATTTCAGACAAGACAGAATTATAAAAGGAACAAGCTGATTCACTGTGAGTTCAGGAAAGGCATTTTATAATCCAAATGACAGTGGATTCATACAATATTGCGACGTTGGTACACTAGTCGCTACAGCTCAATATGATACCATAGATACTCGTCTGAATGCCTCGAGTGGGTGCTAGATGTCGGTAGACTTTAGTGACAGTACATGTCAATCCTTGAAGTCACGATGAAGCGATCCTTCCCTAAGCGACCGTCCCAAGAGCGACTAACGATTTCCGATAACAAAATTTTTCTACACGTAACGTAAAGATATTAAAGGTCTCTATTGAACACATCCCTGATCATTGAAGACAGTAACTAGTAGAATCGGATAAAGGTATATCGGACAGTCCGAATAGATTGGACGGCAAATCCTGCAACTTGAAATATGCTCCCATTGACGATCCGACGACTTTAACATAGCTAACCTATAGAGGAAAATGTCGGTAGCTCAAGTAACGTAGATAGTCGTTGTCTTGTTCGTTGAGCTGGGCAAATTGATTGCATTCAAATAGTCTAACTCAAGATACGTTCGTCTTTGACAGATACCAATCACGAAATAGCTAGTTTCCTCATCAGCTGTGTGTAAATACAAATGCAGAACAGAAGTCTGATGCTCTTGAAACGGTCTTTTGAAATACGTACACTGGTGCACCATCTGGAAAAAAACCAAAAACTACCCACTGATAATCGAATTTTCTTACAGATGGAAATGACACTTCCAGCATTCTAGCGTTTTACTCCTTCAATAGGGTCGCTCTAGATAAACATAGGAAAATCACTGAGTGGTGTAGCCATCAAGCCTAATTTTGATTGATTCCGTAACCAGAATTTTGCATTCTGTATTCCTTGGATGATGCACAAGAGCAAGTCTGTAGTTATCAACGTCTACACTGAGGAACGAACGACCACATCAACCTTCCATTGACGAAACGGCCCAGGATCGCATCCTGCACTCTGGAATGAACATAATTCGAGCATGCCGAGGAAGAGCAGGACATTTTTGCAAGGTGGTCTAGGCTCCGGTGAATATTGAACGTAAAAGTGTTCTCTTCGTCCATAGATCCGAAACACGGAACTGGGAAAACAACTTCATTCGGTTGCAAAACCGAACGATCAGGACCAACTGGAATCATCATCATCATCATCATCGACAGCATGACATCAGTGTTCAACACCCATGCTTCACTGCCGTAGACTTGCTTAAATTAAATGGCCCGGCTGATTGTCCCATTGTGGTCGTGTGACTAATTTATCATTTTACGGAGAACTAGTCGGGTAGGAGCAGCTAGCCAGTGAAAACATTCCACTTCACGCTTCTTGGGGAAATCAACTGAGCTTATGCATGCATGCCCACCGTTTCGCTTTGTCCAGCACAAATAGAAGCTTTCCACCGATATGTTGTTCGAACAAGTCATCAAGATATGGATCCAAGAACCAAATGGCTTGTTTTTGGCTTCACAGCGTACGCGTCATCGTCTGATTCAGGAAGGAGGCGTCGGTCAACTAACAAGCACTCCCAATTCAGCCTGTCATTGACGGTGCTACAGTTGATGTTACGTTTCATCATCATCATCATCATCATCATCATCATCATCATCATCATCATCATCATCATCATCATCATCATCATCATCATCATCATCCGAATCATCATCTACAGCATGACATTACTGATGCCTCACTGCCGTACAACCATGATTTATTTGAAAGCCTTGTTGTAAAGAAAAGAATAAAGGTGGATGGGGGAGGGACTTAGTGCTAGCTTACCACAATCATTCCGAGGTGCCTATACCTACAGACATTCACTCAGGCTAACTGGATAGAAACTGACAACAACAACTGACATCGGTTGACAGTCATATCTTGTAGTGTCTCCAACCAGGCACAGTGAGGATCACGCAGTCCCCATCCTCGAGGGCTAATAGCACCGGCAGCACCCAAACATTTCGTGATCTCCTTCATACTCCTCTGCCAAGTCAAGGGTTGGCCACCTCTCTGTTTACGCCAATCTGAGTCATATCGCCCAAATCTCACAGTAGTCTATCTCTATCAGTCGAATAAGTGGCTAGGAACAGATCAGAACATGTGAACTGCAAAAGGTTTTACAAGCCATTCTATATCTCATTTACACGTTTTTACACTACTTATCATTCTATCACATCTGGATGGGAAGCCAACTGTCCGAACTTTTGGAGTTTCCGCACGCCCTGGAACCCCACGATTCGTGCAGCGCTGACGATCTCCAACAGCGAATGGACAGTTAGATATTTCCTCGTGACTTTCCAAGTTAGGTCGACTTCGCTCGCAAAACCTATCCGCCTTATCAAAACGTAAAACTCTCCTCTTTACTTTGGGAAAAACGTCGAGTCGTTACATCAAATATTTCCTGCAGTGTAGTATCCAATGTACTGAAAGACCGACGCGATATTATCTACAAAATTGCTGGTCATAACACCAGCCTCCTAATTCTGGAAGCTGAGATATGCAAATTAATTATTCACAAATTGCCATTTGGTTTGGGGACAAGCATCAGTTCACAGACGCGCAACCAACACACCTCTCGATCCCAACGGGAATTGTGTGTGGCCGGTAGGTGCTGAGGAGAAGTTAACTGACATTTATTTGTTGAGAAAACTCACAGTAATGGACAAAATTAATGGTGTGTTTGCGTGGCCGCAATTTCATGACAGACTTGCCTTGTGGCCGATAAGAGGAATATTTGTCCCAAAGGAAGCACAGGACCGTCGCAATAAAACTGAAAGGCAAAGGGGAAATTTGGTCAGTGCAAATGCAAACAGTTTATGGTACAGACATTCTAGCTCGTTAAGGTGGAAGAAATTGTATCCCAATCATAAATAAGAGTCATGTCTGCAAATATTTAAATCTTGGATCAGTTTTTACGTTCTCCCTTTCATGAAACCTTTCCGAAAGAAACCGCATTGATCCCATATACAGATGACTTAATTAGGTTCTCTCGCCTCATAAGAAAGCTTCATCAAGGAAATAGCTTGGTGAAACGGATGGCCTTCCTTACAGCAGCATTCATATGTGGCATAAAAATCCCTATCCATTTTAGCGAGATTCTTCAGCAGTATCATATTCAGTCGTGAACAAAAAAACCAATGTATTACTTGTCATTAGTTTCAACTGTCACGTTTGTGTCTTTTCTCTTGCTAGGTAGAGTGGATTGAACCGAGTTCACCCCTTTTAAACTAAGCCAGAAGAAGATAGGCGTCAGTTCGATCGTGATTAAAAACACTTTATATTCAGGGAAATTCTTGAAATGCGATGTTTTTTACACAATGCTATTTGTCTTTTGCAAAAACACTAAGACATTTTGCCTTGACAAATAAGAGCAAAGCGGTCTAAAGTGGCAAATGCATGGGCTGTTGTCTACTGCCAGATGTGGTTTGTGCTTCAAAGCAAAAATACGTTCAGGAATCCCTCAGCGAAGATTCGTAAACCCAGAGAAGAAGCATGTTTTACCTAGTCCAATGCGCTGTCAATGAAAAACAGAAAAGGCCAAACAGTCCTTTTTGAAACTGGATAGCACCCAAGCAGTTCTTCGTAGCCTAGAATTTTCCCAAATCACCAATAATATATTTAGTTAAAGGTTCAGCTTTATTTTAAAATTCATTTGCATTTTACGGATGTTGAAAGACAAGAAGTTAATATCTCCGTTAAATCCCTGTCTATTTTTGAGCCAAGCTTGTTGATCGATTTGCAGACATTTTATTGCCGTTCAAGGAGGCATCTCCGGTGCCACAGTGGGTGGAAGTCTCACCTTCTAGTGCTTGAGGTTATAAAGTTTAGATATGAGCAATTCACGTTTCCAATGTAATTGGCTAGCGGAGATTCCGGTGCTTTGTTTGCTTACTATTCTTCTCTACATGTAGATTTATGCTGTGACCTGATATGTGTGTAGTAGACTGGTTTGTCGGAACCCTTCGTTTGGAAACATGCCACGAAATTGCGATACCACTGAAGTTGTAATAATTCCAGGTATATCACCAAAGACCACAAAATATCATCTATCGTTCCGACTCCAGCCATATGAACTTGCCAATCTGTAGAAGCTTTTATGATCAACCAAACTAGTTACATCAAGATGACATAACAGCGAAGTGGCACTGTCCAGGCATTCTAGTCCGGAACAGTGCAAGAACTTGACCACTTCTAAACGGAATATCTACACGTAAACTAGGCGTCCCCCATGTGATGGGGTGCTGATTTAAACGGGACAATCTTGAACAGCCGCTTCTGTCAGCGTCCAACAGTTCCTTAGTTTATTCCATTTACTAGACAGTAGGCCAGGTTTCTCATGTTGAATTTACATAAGCTTGTTTTCGCTCACAAAACAGCATTACAAAAATGAATTTTTGATCCTTGATTTGCAACTCTCACCAAACAGACCAACGATCAACTACGCAACACAAGTCTCCAATATTCCTTTCAGTAGCAGAGAGGTTATAGTTTCTGAAGTCAAAAGTACACGTACAGCTAGTGTGAGTGAAAAGACCCGCTTGTGGATGGACCCAACCTTCTGAATTCGCATTTACCAGACGTGTATACTCAGAGTAAGCTACCTATTCTTCGGATCGCCTGTGTCTACGCAAAGCTCAAGACTAATTTGACATGCTTGCATTTGGTAAATAACAGCTGATATTGCTGAGTGTCATTACTGGCTTACAGCAAGTCTTCTCAGCTGGTGGTGTGCCCCGCTGGTAGTGCATCCCTTCAGTAAGCAATAAGTCGCCGGTTCGAGTCTGCCACTTGCGCTACATATACTTCGATTTCTCACTTCAACAACGTTAATGTTCGAACATTTTAAAGATCAGTAAGTGTCAGCGTCGAAAACTTACCATATGCTGATCAACAAGAATAGGCGGTACTGAGTAATACTCATTGGGTTCGATGATTTGCAGCAGGTGCTTCGGGCGAAGCGCATCACTCCGTTACATTGAAAATTCCAGATTAACTGCATTACCTGTAGGATTGGGAAAGGACTAGAATAACTGTGAACTGTGAAAAGAAAGCCTGCGTTTGGCAACATCAGTGGCGACGAAGTTCATTCAGAGTGGTGGAGCGATTATTTGCTCTGTATACTGTGTCCTGATTGGTCGATGAACAAGGGGAACCGAATGTCAGATTCACAAACAAAGAAACAAGGAACCCTATTGGGGTCGTATCAAAAAAGGTCACAAGCGGTAACTCGGAGGGATCAAGAACAGAAAATTGTTTTTTAAATCGTTCAGCGGTAGCACCCTTTTTGTGCCTGATTGGCACGCTTACCAGGAGGAAACACAAGGGCTGGGATACTACCAGGTTACCAAAGCCTAGACAGGAGGAGTCGATGGTCGGAGGTCTGATACGCACCACGGACCTTCCGGTCAGTAAATTGGCACTCTTACTTCTGAGCCATCTCATCCTCTCAAGAACACAGGTCACTCCGGCATCGACCAGGGTACGGACCAACCAGAATCCAAGTATGATGACTATCAATAACCAATCAGGTTACAGTGCAAAGGCTGCTCTTTATAAACTATATAAACGCAGGTACGAAGAGAAGGAATACCCAACCAACAACGCACTGAAGATGTCTCCTAAAATGGTGACGAAACATCTGCAAATCAATTGCCGACCTCGGCGAACAGATCAACAGACACCGGAGCAATTACCGACTAATGCAACCGAGCTACCAATATTCCAACACATTACCAACTGTTTTATGTTTACTATAAGCCCGGGAGCCAGAAGATTTTCACCACCATGTGGTTCGAGTCTTGAATTTGGTCGTGCGCTAAATTTTGGCATTATCAAAAGCGGTTACACAAGTTCGAGCAAAGTTAAACTTACCGACTGGAAGCTAGTTAAAGCCGGCGACGCTAGTTCTTAATCGCCGAGACCCCTGTCAACTGAACCGAAGGGACGCAAGTAGCCACCAACCTGGAGTATATATTTGGTAACATATCCGCGCGAGAGTCGCGTTTCATACTTGGATGCCTAGTGCTTCAACATTATAGAATGTCACAGTCTTCATGTGGGTATGTGGTACTCTGGTTCCAGCACCCAAGAAAATAAAAAAGAAACTAGAATCTCTGGAAACAGAAACCACTTCAGTGAATTGTGTCCATACCCATTTTTCTCTCATGAAATGACTAACCTCTCGGTGGGGAACTGTTGCGGTTGGTGTCTTGGTGCGCATATCAATAGAAAACTACTTTGAGGAGGAGACCGATCAGCATAACAAGCCAGTTATGGCCTCCAACCCGCCGGATGGATAGCGGTTACAATGGTATACTTGGGTTATATCTATGGAGATTTTTAACGAAGAATTCGCTACACATTCTTCACTGTTTTGGGAGGAATTCCGGCCCTTTCCGAAAGATGTCGTTCACATACAGCTAAGGCGACTAACTAGGAATCATACTGTTTACCGAACCAAGTTTCAAAATCAAACTATGCTGTGGTGAACCACGTCTATCACTCTGTATTTTAATGTCCTCCCTTTGAACACGCCAAGCACTCTTTGGTTTTCTACCGCTGGACACCCATGTTTCACGAAGCCCTCTTTAAAAGACTACTACAATATAGTGCAAAATCACTGGGGTATCTTAAAATGAAACAGACTTGGAACAACAAAGGCTGTGAAAAACCTTACGGCAGCAGACGACTATAGTCTCCATGTAGGTATGCATAGAATCTTCAGATAAAATTTTTCATCTTCCGTTTGGGAAGCCGTGGCACACAGGATGTCAATTTGTCATAATGGGGTTGAGTCTCCAAATCCCCAGCTATTTTGTGGCCTACGTAAACATTAAACTGAATATATTTAGGAACAAATTACTTAAAAATTGTGACGGTGTTCCAAACGAATGTCATGTGAAGTAAAGAAAGTATGTATAAGCTCTATCGGCCCAAATGCACCATAAGACAGTCTTTGATCAGCACGGAGCGCTGCCGAATACCACGCGCAAGTGATTTCGACAAACCTCACATTAAAACCACTTTGAATTACAGATGAGTTTTCGTCTCCAAATGCACCCAGATTGGTGTTGTGTATGAAATAAAATTAATGAACATTTCTGGAGCAGGTCTCGAAAAAAAAACTCAAATCAACAACGGACACTAGGCATTTTCATCGGCCTTGTAGGTAGTGACATGGGAAGGAATCTACTTCGATAATTGCAATATCGCTCCATCTGTAACATGAAACAGCCGATTCTTCAGGAATTCAGCTGGAGACGATTCACTTGACTGCACTGTTGACGTCATGCTAGTTGGCAACCCCCTGGTCACACAAATAATTTGCTAAGTTATCGTTCGTCTGAAACTAGTCGCAAAATAGTATATAGGTGGCTGTATAAAAACCTGCACTGTCTTCATTAGCCAACCCGAAAGGGGTCATTGAATTCGATTCCTAGCAAACAGTCTGCAACCATCACTAATTTAGCTTGGTGAAATTGAATTACCTTCCAAAAGAATTAGCGCGTGTTGCGCGGGTCGACAAAGCCGAGGCGAGTCAGAAAGTTACAGCACATGTTTTACTTGAGCCTGCAGTATACCCCTTGCTGTGAAGGCCCAAGACAAAGATATGCTACGTGTGGCATTTTAGCCGTTATAACCAGTCCGTCACTGGGTAGATGATTCAACTCATAAGTAGGCGGCTTGGCCAGAAGCAAACACTGACGGTTGGAAGGGCTGTCTGTGGGCAGACAGGCTGTGCCTCTGCTAAACGGCCATTCGATTACCAAGAGAGGGTAAAGTTTGACCCTCCTTTCTTATCAACCAGTGTCCTCATAAATAGGAAACTGGTTATTCGCCGCCCTTCTCACAACAGCATGTCCACCTAAAGAAAGACGATCGGTGAATTCACCATGTTTGCTCAAATATCCCCATAGTTTAAAAAAACAGTGACGAACATTAATTATTTTGGGATCTCATCATCAGGTCACTACATATCTAATGGTTAAAATAGGAGCGAATAATGATGATTGGTTAGCGAAATGCGAAATGCCGAGACACGCTTCATTAATCAGACAACCCATCGTTTGTGTCTCCACGTTTTGCATTTCACTAGCCAATCATCGCAACGCACTTCATCTTTCGCTCCCATTTAACCGTTAGATTTGTACTGACCAGATGACGAGATCCCGAAAACAATACTGTTCGTCACAGTGTTCTTTTTCACCATATTTCTCCCTCTTAATTTCAAAAAGTCCTGAGGAGTACACTGCAGTTCTTGAAGGACTACTAAGGAAACGCAGCAGTCGTGCTTTGGAACTTCATGCAGAAATGGTTGCGCTGAAATAGGACACCAGAGACTGTGGCAACTTTTCTTGACATGAATGAACCTGTTCATTTTGACCTGGTCTCCTTCAAGGCGCACGTTTACTGCCAATCCATTACCATTCACACAAGTCGGTTTGTATGGTGAGCACACTCAAAGCAGTACAAAACCGCGACCTAAACATTTGTCTTCAGAAGTAAAACCGTCCTCCGTGCCTTGAGGTTTCGCCATCAGTACAGATTACCCACTGAATAAGACTCCATTCTGTCAGCCCTTTGAGGATTTCGTCGATTACTGCCTTCACGCCGGGAGAAACCACTCCCTCGGAAGCGGTCAGTTTTGGTCCACCAGATCAGGAGGGCTCTCCTAGGATAACCGCGTTCGAGGCTGAATCATTCTGATCCTCTAAACTCTTTTTATTATCTATATTTTGTGCTCATAACTAGACTTCCCTGCTGATGTATTCTCGTTGATCATCTGTACATTTTCTGTCCACCTGTTGCAAAACGAACCACTCAAGTCCACAAACTTGACGATGGGAAATCGATAGAATCAAGCTTCAAATGCAGCTGCACCCACCTCATACGTTGCCTTGGTGGCTTTCTGTCCTGGTTTCGTTTTTGAATACAGGCTGCAAACTGGAAAGGAACCAAATAAGCACACAGAAAATGTGTTTTCAACGGCAGTGTTTTGTGGGATTCTATTTTAGATGAAAACCGTTTGCAAAGGAACACTGTTCTTTAGACCTCAATCAGCAACCGGAAGATTTGTGGTTCGAATGCAAAGCAAACATCTGGACTGCTGCTGACTAGGCTTGAACAATCTGGAATAATCTCAGCTCATTTGTTTCCTTCGTGTGATAGTATGGCCTGGGTGACTGATCCTCAGTACTCATCAGTTCGTGTTCTTTTGTTACTCAGCTGTACACATGCGATGATGACAAATCAGCTCAACACTGAGTAAATTATTGGAGTCACAATACTGTCGATGATATTTGAGAAACAGCTACTGAATACTCGCCATGAATAAAGGAACCAGGCGATCACAGATGATGCCGCACTAAAAACAGAAAGACACAAGCGTTTGCTTTGCGCCGGGAAATCAATACAGTGTTGTAACTTTACCCAGCGGTGATCTCAAATGATTTAAGAATATCCGGATATAGCTGTATCATAATGAGCGCTTCAGATCTATTTACGATCTAAATGTTTTACCCTGATGTGGCAGTCGGGCTTGAATGCTGCTGTGGTCACGAGGGCCGAGTCTTCGTTCCACAAGGAACAGTCATGCCAGGGATACTACAGAGATTATACAGACCAAGAGCAGCGAGATTTCGCACTACGATTAATCTCGATACGGGGTGTCCTCGAGGCAAAACCTGGGTTTCTTCTGCGATTGGAGTGTGGAGACGATAAGATGTATCTCTCGGGTGACCAGCACATTCATATTTATGAAGGCAGCGATGCTGTCCTCCCTCAAGTAAGCACGCGTTAGAAAAGACCGGTCCCGAATACCGCACGCCCTGATCGCCAAACGGCCACAGCCGGTGCATTATTGAGTGCTGTCGAAATACTCTTTAAACTAAAAAGCTTCTTGCTGACAAAAAGATACCTGATGTTTGCAGTCTCATTAGAAGTCGGGCATAATTGCCTGCGATCTCAAAATAGACTAGTCCCTTGCAGCCGAGCAGGCGGCAATAGTAAGTCGTCGGGTGCGCGCAATCCCCTAAGAAAACCCTAAAATCCGCTGCCTCATGTGCAAGACTTCTGGGTAGGAGGCTGGCGCAGGATCCTCCCAAAATACCTATATCCTTTCACTACCATGTGGGTCAGAATTTTGAGTCAAAGGCTGCATGTGGCGTACCTCAAATTAATCCACCTCCTCAGCCTGGATGACCAGGTAATACTATTCGCCCGCAGATCTATTTATCCATCGCTGTATCCCATTAACCCATACCCACCATAAAAACAAACGTTTCACGATCATTTTATAGCCTGTTATCACTCAGCTGCCCATTGACAATAAACAAAGTAACACTTTGCTAAGCCCACTAGATACGTTCCACAAAAGAGCCTTTAGTTCCCTGAAATGGACGTAAGATATCTCTAAAACACGCCTGTGGCACTCAACTGTGATCATTTATCCCGAATCCTCAAGAACGAATCGAGCTCTTTCATATTCCTCCCTCCTTGTGTCCAATGGTCCGTAGGCAAACTTTTCTGGAACATATGCCGTGGGGGTTGCACTCAGCCCAAGAACTGAACCCTCTTCGCTGAGATGGACTTCACTGAACAGCCGCCTGTGAGCCACTCGTTCACCTAGCTCAAACAAGCTGAACGCTACTTAAGATGAAAAGCGCCATTCGCCCCACGGACTGCGTGCTGAGAAGGGCGCTTTCCACCAAGATTTATCCAGGCTCATTCGTCAAGCAATAACCAATGGCACTGTGATTATTACGGGCGATATAGGTGCACAAATTAGTAATCCGTGCGGTCGATTTGAAGTTAGTACTTATCGCACAGACAACCGGCAGCGAGTCCTGCATTTGTGTGACGATCATCAACTGTTCCTGGCCAGCGCGAACCTTCAGAATAAGCGTTCGTATCGAGTAACCTGAATGCCACTAAGCACCAGGTCATCAGCTACCTGTTGGAGGTCACATTTCAAGACTGCCGTTCTTTCGGCGGCACCTTAACTGAGTACAATCACGCCAAGGTGCTAGCACGTTTGACCATTTGTTCACTTTTAGCCCGTCGCATATCCACAAGAAACATGCTAATCCATCACCTTTGAGAACCTACCGTAGCTCAGTAGTATCGATCTAAACTAGCTCAATTACTCTCTGGATTAAACCAACACTGAACTGGTGGCGAGAACGTGGATGAAGCATGTGAGAGATTCATCGAGGTTCAGCGCTTCTGTCAGATTTTTCCTATACTATAATGTGATGCATGGATATCGTCGGCAACTGGAAGAATGGGCCGGAAACTTCGAAGAACAGTTTAGCTAACTTTCTGTGACATTAGCCTTAGAGATAGTGCACGTGCACAAATGGTATGTTGTCCTTAATCGCTTGTTAACAAAAGAAATAAATTGCGAAATGGCCTTTAAAAGCGTGACAAGGAGCAGAATGCAGAAGAGGGAGGAGAATCTCCGGTGGCTCATCCGACAAGATTTAATGGTATTATGTTTAGTGTGAAAATATTGCACACTGACGGTTTTCCTGTCGTCCATAAATTCATCTGCATTGTCACTCCAATCATCGAGGTTCAGCGCTTCTGTCAGATTTCTCCTATACTATAAGTTGGTCCAAGGATATCGTCGCCAACTGGAAGAATGGGCTGAAAACTTCGAAGAACAGTTTAACTAACTTTCTGTGACATTAACCTTAGAGATAGTGCACGTGCACAAAGGTTATGTTGTCCTTAGCCGCTTGTTAACAAAAGAAACAAATTGCGAAATGGCCTTTAAAAGCGTGACAAGGAGTAGAATGTAGAAGAGGGAGGAGAATCTCCCGTGGCTCATCCGACTAGATTTAATGGTATTATGTTTAGTGTGAAAATATTGCACACTGACGGTTTTCCTGTCGTCCATAAATTCATCTGCATTGTCACTCCAAATGGAATGTGGAGCAGTCTTTGCAAAGCATTTTCACTCGGAGAATCTCATAAGCAAGGGCGTCGCTGGCAGATAATTCATTTGTCATTCACTGAGACCATCTGGGCTTTAGAGGGAATTCCGATATCTAGAGAAAAGAGTTGCGTTTGACATATAATACGGACAATTATGGAACTGGCCCACACAGCGGACGAAACCTTGTAAAACAGGGTCAAAGTTTAGACGCGAAGTACATTAGTTGGTACTTCCACTGACCGCAAGTAGAGCATTTTAGCGTTGTTGATATCGTCATATCTGATATTCAGAATTGATGCGAACACAGTGTGGAAGACATTTATTTTACATGTAAAGGGAGACTGCTTCTCACTTTTCTTTCTTGTTTTCCACATCATCTCGACTTCTTTCATTGAACCTTTAAGCTGGAAAGACAGAGTAGTGACCCAGTGTTAGCCTTTGTTTTCTCATCCCCAGCCCTTTGGCTTTTCAGACTACCGATACATACTTTACGCAAAGTGACCACACCAGTGTAACAGAGCATATTTCACAGTACGAAATGTGAAAGTAACACGTCTCACGTTGTGAGACCCAGTGTTACGGCTTCTTGTTTGTATCCTGGATCCCTCTAACAATTAATATGGACCCAGTGTTACGGCTTCTTGTTTGTATCCTGGATCCCTCTAACAAATTAATATGGCAGGTACAGAGCTCAAAAAAAACATGAAAATATGGCGATTACTGTTAAGTTTAACGATCAGTTCTGCGCATTAGGGACTGAAAATCGTTGAACCGCGTCTTTTGGAAGCTGGGGCTCTTTTATGGCAAATAGTGAAGAATATTACAAGGTTCGGTTGAATCACCCACTACAACTAGCGTACCTGTTAGTATTCAAGTAGAGAATGAAGCTTTTGGAAACCTGACGAATACACCTAACTGACAACCACAAAGGAGAGCGGAGCCAATATTAGGTTGCTGAAATGTTTTCAGTGATCTACTCAGTAATGAGGCATGCTGAGACAGTAATAAATCACTTTAGGGAATAGGATAAATATCACACAAGACCGATTATAATGGTTGTTGCATGACGTACTTTCGTTCGAGCAAGTGAGTCCGCCAAGCTTCTCTTCAATGAGACGATTAACGCTCATAAGATAGAGGTTCTGAACATTTGATCTAGGAAAATTTAGAGAAGAGACAACATCCGTTCAGTCATTTGAAGATAGATACATCTCAGGAGTGCTGAAACAGGGGAGCCAATTCAATGACATAACGACATTTTTCGCAGCACACAGGGTGCCTCGATATTCCGCTTTGTGGATATTTAATAAATTCCCATTTTTTGGATATAATTGATGCGGAAGGGTCGATCGAGATGCTCAGATAGACAGTTACCGGTTTTTTTT